GCAGCAGGGTGCATAATTAGGTATGCCTGCCATCTGCATAGCCCTCCAGGTGCAAGAGGCATTAGCTTTATTTAATATTACCACAACATTAATTTTACTCCATTAATTTATGTCATTTGTCCTTTATTTCAAACTCACATTGCCAAAACTAAAGCACTAAAGGTGATGACCCAATTCTGGTTTTAGTGAAAGCCTTATAAACAAAATCTTAAACAACCTCATTAACTAAGAACACTTTTACAAACAGAAATTGACTGGCTTGCATTCTCATTTTAAAAAAAAGGAGCCTATAATCAAAACCTTTCTGATAGTGGTATAAGAGCTTTACCAAAAAAACAGTATATCCTGAGATCATTGTTTTAGGTGGGATTGACAAGGCACTAGAAAATAGTGAATCGCATAATGAAAAAAATGTTTTATTTCAGTTTCTTTAAGTCCAGGGATGGGTCTCCATGAGTCATTAGCACCATTCTAAAATCTGCCATTCGTTCTCCCTTTTTTGTTGTTGTTTTGTTCTGCTGTTTTGTTAAACAATGAAAAAACTTAGTAATTGCTTTGTTTCCAAAGAGTGTCTCAATTTTTCTGTGTTGCAATAGCACCTACAACTTTTAGATTTTTTCCATGAATGCCCTATGATGCTACAATTGAATAAACATTTTCAGAGTTAAACAACCAACAATAACATTCTTTAAAGTCGTTATGCGTCATTTAGTACTCCTCACATATAGTAACAGGCCGGGAGTACGGATCCAAAGACCCAGAAGGGCCCCCACGGAATTTTTCAACATCTCTACACAAGAAACGACCAGGGATGCTCAGTAGATGCCCTTTCTTCTTAGAAGAAAAAAAGCCTCTGATGTTAACAAACATATATAGCAAATTAATCACCCTATGCCACAAACACCAGAATCCTTGTACTGAAATCTGACTCTCAGATACAAAGGAAACAGGAAAGACAGCCAGGTAAGGCCGAAGGACTACGGCATCCACCATTAACAGATGTACTAAGGGCCAGGTACCGCCTTACATGATATCGCTAAAAGCCAAAGACAACACTGCCAAATAAAGAATCAACATCCATTTTACAAACAAAAACCAGATTCAGGAAGAGTAGGCAGCCTGCCAAAAGGGGAACTAGTTTGGTCAACCTCTCTCAGCCTCACCGAGCAGCCTCCAGCTAACAGAATGAATGTTCCCTGTTACCCGCCCCCGGCCCCCTCCCGCCTACCACAATCTTCGCGAGGGCCCCATCTCGAGGCCCTGGCAACTGCCACGCCCTGAGGCCCTCTACTAGCCCTGAAACAGACCATTGAGCGCCCCCCACCCCCGACAAACACACAAACCTCGGGCTGAGGCCCCAGCGCACGCAGCGTCCCTGGCCTGCCCCGCCATCCGGCCCCTCCCCGAGGCATGTCCTACCGTGACTAGGATCCATTCTCCCTGACAGAGCAGGAGCCTAGTTCTCATCCTTGTTAGGCAATAGTATTCCTCATAGAATTTAATAGCATGGCTTTTGCTCCTAGTTACTTTATACTTATGGCAAATGACAGTTTTTCCATTCAAAGTAGTAAAATATAATCCCTCTTTTAAGCATATTTAAGTTAAAATTTCATGTACTTTAAAGAAAATGTTTAATAAGGAATAGATCAATATGAGCATATGGAACACATCATGAATGTTGTATGCAAAACAACTGAAATTTTGGTGTAAGCTGATTTGCATCTAACTTCACTAGAAAAAGCCATGATCTTACAAAAATGAAAATTGAAGGCTATTTAATAAAACTATTGAATTTATATTACTCTATGTCTTCCAGGATATAATATGGACAGCGACTAGCCTTTTTTTCTTTTCTTTTTATAATTAGTTGCAGGTGTATACTATCATTTCTTGATGGCTTGTCATATACATGGCATCAATGGCTTACACATAGATGTCTCCCTTAATTTCCCAAAGCAAGGCAAATTTGTAAGTTTTATTGAATGAAATAAGGTATCTTTAGGTTAATGAAATTTAGGGAAGTGGAACTTTGCCAAATATTTCAAGGTAGACTCAAGTGAAAAATCTTAGTATCTAGTACACAGATAACAAGAAAGAAAAAGTATGCTTTCCAAGGATTACCGTGTGTTTCTGAAAATACGTACATAAAGCAGAGAGTGGGGGAGCTAGGAAGAAAGGGTAAGGTATTTGAAAATGACACAACCTTCTGAAAAAAATGCCCAATGTTAAATAAACATGGACAAGCTCCCTCTTCAAAGCTGCCTAAAGCAACCTTTTGATGTTAGTACTTTTGGAAACCTGGACGAGAGAACTCTGAGATCGTAACCATAGGTTTTCCCTCCTTGACAGAACTCTTTTTAAGGGCCTACTGCTGAACTTCAGTGCTTGACTGACAAATACAATTCTTAGACAAATAATATAATGCAATTATTTTCTAACTTATATCAAAATGGACAATATGGAATACCTGTATCCTGAAGGGAAAGAGAAGCTGCAACATGATATACAAAAATTAAGAACATTTGTTATCATTTGTTTTCATGCTCTTTCCTTTTGAAATGTTCTTCCTGACAACATTTTTTTCTTTTTTCCTCTTGAGGTAACAGAGGCCAATCTCTCCTTACAAAAAACTCCCTTTAGAAAGGGGGAAAGTTAAACATTAATTCCTAGTAGACCAAGTTGAGGAACATCTTTGCACAAATCAAATGCATTCCAGAATACTCGTCCCTGACATGAAACAACACACCAGGGCTGCTGAAAGCAGGTGATGATAGTTCTGACATTCCCACATCTAGACCAAGGGAAAAAAAAAATGCCTATTTACTCCTGTCTCCCTGCAGGCATCCTTTCAACTTCTCCCTTCACTCTGACAAGAGATCTGAAGAAAGCCTCTAAATCATTGCATGGCATTCATTCTCAGACAATAAGTTTGCTGACCAGATCTAAGGCACCTTAGTACAGTAGTACATCTCAGAGACTGGAAAGAGTTTCCTTTGCTACTTCAGATCACTCAAAATCTGCTTTATCAAGACTCTAAAAAACAAAACAAAAAAAAACCCTCTCCTTTTGCTTGTCTTATCTTTCATGAATTTTAATCTTTTTATGCTTCCAATTCAATCTTTGTTCTGATATGAATTCTACTAACTTGCTACACACCTCATTGCTGCTCCTGCTGTTACATATCAGCCAGAGCTGAAGTTGAAACAGTTTATTTTATTATCATCAACATCCTTTTGGAGGAGGTTTAAAGAACACCAGAAGTGTATGGTATTCTCCAGTGTGATTTAATCGCACAATCAATTATTTGAACCTATTATGGTCAATTCACTGTCTGGAGTTGTACATGGCATTAAAACCATAATGTCCATATATTCAAATTCTTAAGCATATTCTTCCTTTACCACATAGAACTCTTACATTTCTAGAAAAAAAATAATATAGGAAGCATACGTTTCAGTCACTTCTCTCCAATGGTGATCACGAATCTATATTCTTTTCCTCTAAGCCTTTTTTTTTTCTCCCTTTCATGTGCTTTAATTTTGTTAATTAATAGCAATTCAGGAGGGGAGCTTTTCCCAAATGTTTTTGTATCCCTACAATAGCATTCCCACTGTTTCTTTTTTGCATTTAGTATGAAGGCTGCAGCTAGCTAACTAAAACAAGGTAATAGCACGAAATTAATCATTACTATAGTCTAATCATTCATATGTTCAACAAACATGTATCGAGCCAGACGCAATAATAGTAGCTAAGGGTTTAAGAATATTTAAGATACTGTATTAGTTTCCCAAGGCTTTATAACAAAATACCACAAACTAGATGGCTTACAGCAACATAAATCCATTCTTTCATAGTTCTGGAGGCCAGAAGAAGTCGAGGTACAAACAGGGCCGAGCTCCACCTGAAGACCTTAGGGAAAAAAACCTTCCCTGCTTCCTCCAGCTTCTGATGGCCCCAGAAGTTCTTCGGTGTTTTGTTTTTTTTCCTTTCCCTCATCTTTACATCTAAAGCCTTCTTTTAAGGATTTAGAGCCCACTGTAATATAGTATGACCTCACCTCAGTTTAATTATTACATCTGCAAAGACCCTATTTCCATAAGGTCATGTTCAGAGGTTCTAGGTGGACATGAATTTTGGGGGGATGCTTTTCAGGCTAGTACAGATATCTATCGAGCTCTTCTTCTTGGAGTATTCCTGCATATTTACTCAAAATTTAATTTGGTTGGTTAACTTCCACGAAAATCTTCTGATAGTTAAAACTTGCCAAAGAGGTTAGCGCAGCTTCACGATGGACCACTGAGTGATGACTAAGAAGCCAGATGTGCCACTGGGATACGAAAATGAATTTTGTTATATCAAGTACCTCAGTTTACAACAAGTGGTTGAGTATCTGCCGAATTGCTACAATGTGTAGTCTTGTCCATTGTCCATTCATTTTATGTAACTAAGAATCACAGAATTCTTATATTTTATAACTAGATATTAATATAAGTTTTGAGATAAAGTAACCTATCGTTTTACAGATGAGATGAACTAGAGGGAATTTAAATGTTCATTAGCTAATTAGGGGCAAAACCAATAGAACAACAGTTCCCCAATTCCTTGCTATTTTCAAATTAGACTTTTCACATTTATTAATATAATTTTCATTAAGATTGTCCATCTGAACATACTTCAGCTCTTCACTACCCTAAAGAGCCAGTTATAATAACACTGCATTAATTGTATCTATGAAAAACGTACATAAGCAGGATACTTCATTTTCTACAGTGCTGTTTATCTTCCTCTGCTCCATGAGTAGCGTACATGAATCTTTAGCATTAGTAAAAATTCTGGATGTGAAAAATATTGAGCTTTTCATAATAATGTCCAAAGTTCCTCTAATTGTAACTATGGACACCATATGTTCAATTCAACATAAAACAATTTTAAAGTATAAATCTTGAACAATGCAATGAAGCTTTTCCCCAGAAGAAAAAACAAACAAATACGTCTGCGTCTTTATTCGTGCACCATGAAACTTCTTATTTATTCACTTCAATTCTGCATTTACACAAAAGTGGTGTAATAAAATATCTGTACACTACTTCTGTTACAAATATAGATAATATTTAAAGTGACTTTATATATTCTAATGTAGGAGTTTCACGCTCTAAAATGGGAATGAACACATGATAATTCCTCACCAGTTGTCTCAATAAACAGCTCCATCTGTTTCCCTTAGTCTTAAACTATTGTATTATAAGATGTTAATATAAGGCAATGAAATGAAGTTATGTTAATCCCCTTAATTTTTCTATCAATTTTCTAATGGCATACAACCAAAATAATTACTAACACATTGCTTTTTTCTCTGTCATTAAGATTAATACTAACTGAAAACCAACTGCACAGTGCACGAACACATTTTTAGTGTTGCATCAGTTAAAACCAGCACTAAAGATTTTGAGAGCCTTCTATGTTTCGCCACAGTTAGCATGGCTGCTTTCTAGAGAAACAACAATCAACGCGGGATAGCATCATCATTTTAATTATAGAAACATGGAAAAATTCTGTAACAGGTCAAAAATGAAAGTGAACATCAAGATGTGTGTTACATATTTTCTTTGCAAACATAGAGACATTGCTTTAGATACTTGCTTTTTACTCAATCTTAAGACTACTATTTTAGGAGGAAAATATATATGTGTATATTAAAAGTGGGGAGTTGCAATTTTTTATAATCAAAAGTTATAAAAACAGCATTTTTAAAGATTTTCAACAGAATTTTTTTTTTTTTTTTTGGTTAGAAATAGGGAGGGTAGATTGGAAACACAAGGTATTTTTATAAAGTTCAAGATTTTATCTTTCATTTTATAGTTTCATTTTTCACCCTAGTGTACTGAAGCCACTTCTCTTAGGTTACCTTTAGAATTATTTTTTTCTTCCTCTACTAACCAGTTTAGCACATAATAATTTTTGTCCTGTGACTATAAAATGTCAGATATCTTCATGAAGAAAGACTGGATTTAACTAGGCAAATAAAAAAAAAATTTGCATTTACATTCACACAAGGAGAAAGGAAAAAATGGTGCTAGGTTGTCAGTAAGAAAATCATTTCCATACGAGACACAAACTTAAATGGTAAATTTTCCCTACAGTTTTGAAGAGCACGATGAACACAGCATAGGAAACGTGACCCACAAGGCCAGTTCCATTCTCTTTACAGTGTGGGACGTGAGTGAGGGGTTGAGTTGGCTCAATTCTGGCAGCCACTTCAGGAAAGAACCAATAGAGTGACAGTGCCTTTTGTCCGCTTGAGGATGGCAACAGCTTCTTCATGGGTTACCCCTTCTAGGCTCTGCCCATTGACAGCAATGATCTGATCACCCCTTTTTAGACGCCCATCTTCGGAGGCTGCTCCCTGCAATTATAAAGTAGGCTTGTTTACTTCTCAAAAACTACTGCCTCACAGCTACACAACAGAAAAGAACTAACCAAGAATTTAAATTGCTATGCGTGTATACACACATTACTCTCAATGCTTCATGGGTGAGCCACAGCCATTAAGCAACGACGAACATACACAAAGGAGGCCTTTCTCCCAAATGGTTTTAGCACTGAAATCCTTATCTGAGAGAGAATTTAGCAGTCGGTAGATTAGTTGGATGTGTTTGGGCTGTTTGGCACAGCAGATAGGAACTCAAATTAATAAAACTCTCTGGGAATTTGCCTAGTAGGGATGATTTCATAGAAACTAAGATTTTTTTTTTTTATCCTGTGAAGAAGACCTATAGAAAGAAAAAGGATTAGGTAGGAAGAAAAGCAGTTTTACAAGAGAAAGGCATGAGGGCCATGGAACCCCAAGGTATGCAGATGCGTACAGCCCACGTGCATGTTGACAAGGGCAGGACAAGGCACAAAGCCTCCTAATTTTAATTCTAATTCTTTCTGTGGTTTTAGAAAAGCAGCTCAAGCTTGTTGGTGCTTTACTTCCCAAGGGTAGATGGAGTCTTCCATATTTTTTATGGGCCCTAAATGATTAAGATTAAACACAGACATTGCTGTTTAAAAAAGAACCCCATCTTAAAGCATGCTTATGGTAGGCAATTATGCAATTAAATATAAGATTAAAATATGGGAAAGTTAATGAGGAATCCATAATGATGAAATTCTTAAAATATGTTCTAACTAGCATGCCTTAAATAAATTGTTCCAAGGCTGAAGGAAAGGGCTGCATGACTCTTCTATTCACTGGCAAATGCTGTTTGTATTTTTGGACATACCAATGGCTGTTAAAAATCTCATAAATTAAGCCTATAGCTTGATTGCTATAGAGACAGAACTTTAAATTGGTTAAACATACTATTTTTTTTTTCAAAATAATAAAATGAAACTGCCATTGGTAGGCACTTTACAGGACCACAGCATTAATCTCAAGCCCCTGTAGCAAATCTTTTAATAGGTTTTATGTAAGTTTTGTTCCTTTGCACTGTAAAATTGTGAGATTCTGGATTTTCTCCTGCAGGAAATTTTGTCCAATTTTGTAGCTCCTGAAAAAACGTCTGAACAACATATTAACCATAATTATATGGGTTTAAATTATGTTAATAGCTTCACCAGTGTTGTAATAACTTCATCTTATTCTAAACATTCTTAAACTAGAACAGGCTGCTATATAATTACAACTATATACTAATGGTTTTCCTTTTTTATATTGAATCCCTTAAGTGCAAATGCTGATTTACTGTAGATAATAGAGCTTCTGGATACTTTCCCCTTTTTTTTATTTATTATTTTTCTATTTTATTCAATGAAATTACACTGTACAATAAATGCCCTATTAATCTGCATATCTGTTTTATGTACTTTTCTGTGCCTGTTTTATATTTCACCACATCAAAAAAATGCAAAGAAAAAGAAATGCCAGCACTTTACAGCACACATATTTAAAATGTCCCATTTTCAAAAGATATTCGATCATATGCAACCTGTTTTCAAAGGAAAAACAAAAAGGCATCACTGTCTAACTCTGAAGTTCATTAATATTTTCATGTATATTGTCAAGAATTCCCATGGAATTTCAATTTGAGCCTATTTTCCTTTAAATACAACTAAACCTCAAATTGGACAAAAATATTTAATGGCCTATTCCTATAGGGAGTTCCAAAAGAAAATGATCAACTGTTAACCATTTGGCGTTACCTCAGGCCATAAACTAATAAGCCAGCTGCTGACCACTATTAATGAATGTTCAGTGGGGGAGAGGGTGGTTAAAATGTGCAAGCTTACCTTCGCAAACACTGTTTTAATATAAATGGGTAAGTCTCCATGAGGGCTGCCATATCCTCCCACTATACTGAAGCCTAAGCCATCTGGTCCTCGGTCCAATGAAATAGACTTACACTGAGGAGGCCTACAGTGAAAGGAAGGAATAAAGAGTGTTTGGATTAAAAAGAAGGATACTACTGTGAATCTGTAAATTATGAATTATCTGACATCCACCTAGAACTAGTATCATTCTCTGTGTTACTGACAGAGAGTATGTCATGGGTATTTTGAGGATGCTTAAATTGTCAGTCAGTGCATGCTGTACTCAGCATTTTAAATTTACATGAACTAATGAAATTCTATGTAACCCCCTAATTCTATTGCTCACTTACAGCTCTCCTAAACTAACATATTCACAGCCTGTTCTCATCGCATGGTGAAGCTCCCTCTTTTTCCAATTTACGTAAAGTGAGAGGGCTCAAGTGCAGAGGACCAACATGGAGTAAGTCATAAACATCAGTACTCACAAGCTCAGAGAGAAAATCGAGTATAAACAATGTGAAAGCTGCATCAAATTATTTAAAAAATTCCAATATGCTCCTCTCTTCTCCTCTTTCTATGTTCTAATTCTTTTCTACTCACGTGTTGAATAACTGAATTTTTTAAATCAAAAGATGACTTATTACATGAGTATACAATGCTGGAATTTTTCAAAGGGCAGATATGACTTGTTCCATGTCACACAGGACAGTGACATCAAGACTAAAATGTACCTCCAAAAATCTCAGGGATGAAAATGTGGGATGAGTAGTGGCATGCCTATCTACCTTTAATAAACTAAATCCATGCCATAATTATTTAACAGCTTAGAAACGCTTAGTTTTCATATTTCATACCTCATCACCTATTATTTCACCTTTATGAGAGTGGTAGGGATGTACAAACCGTAATATCTGAGCATACCCTAAATCATCCTGAAAGATACTGCTTGATGTCAACCCAGGGAAAGAAAGACTGGAATTGGCAGCCTCCTTTTGATGACCTGTGACCACACTCACATCTCCTCCAGCAACCACCTGTACACGGGAGAAAGATAAAGAGAAAAACACATGTTCATGTGGCTAAGGAGACATCAGTCATTTTTCTTCAAAAAAGGCACTCAGATTAAAACATGTATTTTACTGCCCTTTTAATCATTTCTGTTAACATAATATACAGCTAAAGACGAGGAAATTTCACACGGTCCAGAGGCCTCGACAACTGACAGTAAAAATACTCTAATTCAATTCTACCAAATTCTCTGATGCTTTTCAAACATGCTCTCATATGCAATTAATTTTTAAAGATCTTCAGAATACAAGCCAGTCAGTCACTCACATCACTTAAAATTCTAGCAATTGATCATTTACTACTAAGACCTTTTATTTCTCCCCTCAGATACAAAGCGTGAAACAGTAAATGCATCCGAATAAATGTGGCAGAATGTGTTTCTTACAGACCTTCTTGGAACTCCCAATGTAATCATTTATGTGCAAACAAAATAGTAAATAAAATAATAGCAGGATATTTAAGCATTTTTACTGCCTGAACATCAAAGCTCACGTGTCCTCAAGCTACCCATAGCCTGAATAGTGTGTGGGATAAAAATCTTACCTGCATTTCAATGGAGCCAGAAGCACTTTTCAGTAAGTTAACCACTTTGGTGTGAGTCATCCCCTCAGTGGACATGTTACAGATAGTAACAATCCTATCCCCAACCTGCAAGGGAAATAGAAATAAAGAGCCATCTGCTAAAGCAGCCATGGAGAAAGTGACACCGATACCTGAACAACCATTTCCTTCTCTACCCTGCACATCACAATATACTGTTATCAGCAGTGGAAATCTACCCAAGGAATCCATTAATTCCAAGCAGCAGCAACCATAAAAAGAAGCTGCACATGAAGGTTGAGTTCTGTAGCCTCTAGGGGAAGGGGGAAAATCATTTCTCCCTTCTCTTCATGTCTCCTTGGTGAGACATTGCTTCCTATTGAATGAATACAATATCTGATGTCATTTGAAAACCAGAATGTCTCTGGACATTATTACACACATTAGATGTCACTCTAAGGCAGGGGTGTGAAAACAGTGGCCCAAAGCCAAGCCTGGCCCACTGCTTGTTTTGGTTAATAAAATCTGCTTGGAAGACAGCCGTGCTTATTTATTGGCCTCCACTGGGCAGAGTTGAGTAGATGTAACAGAAACCTGTATGACTCACATGGCCTAAAATATTCACTATTTTGTCCATCACCAAAAAAGTGTTCTGACCCCTATTGCTATGTATGACAATCAACTTTTAAGTGTCAGTCATACATTTAGATATCAAAGGAGACCAAACTATTCCCAATTTAGAGGCTATTTTAACTAAGAGGTGGTTATATTTTGAGATCCTTTTGACAAATGAGACCATGCAAGATTTTACCTTATACGTACTTTAAATGGAATATTCACATGATTTTGCAACTGAACAGTTAGCACAAATTCCACCATAAAGCTCTACATTTGGATAATCCTTCAACTTTGAAGAAAGTTTTGTACAGTTTTGCAACAAGCTAAGTCACATTTATATTGAACTTCTGCAAAATTGATAATCCAATGCAACATAAATGGTTCAGTTTTCAATTTAATCAAGTTAAATCGGCATTTAAACCAATGGAATGTGTAAGGAAAAAACTTTCACCTCATACTGGTATTCATAAACACTTTCTGTTTTCTTTTAACTTTTTCCACAGTTTCAAACAGGTAAAAAATATTAAGAAACAACAGTAAATCTGCCCATTTCATTTACTTGCAAATTTGCATACAATTCCCTATTCTCCTCTCTTTTAATTTTCTTCATCTTTTATTCAAAGCAAGCCCTGCTGTGGCTGGGTGAGCTGGTTCAAAAGCAGATAAAGACATTTAAGATTGCCTGCAACGGGTGGCCAGAGTCAAAGGGTTTATCAAAACTCTTGCCAAATTAGCTCGGGCTACCAGGGCTATTAGTAAAACCTACTCTGAGTTTCTGGGTCTGAGCTGCAACTCCATTTGGGTGCATCATTGCAATAAATATAGGAACATCACCAAGTGGGCTGCCCACTCCTCCAGCAATGCTGATTCCCAGGGAGTCACCAGGCCCCTGTCACGGAAGAGAGAGAATGTTTTGGTCAATGTGATCTTTTTAATTGACTTTTGGTTCCTCTGGCACAATTTTCTATAGTTTATTCCGATCCTCTAGGTGTGAGGGTGGAAAATGAAGCTCTAGAAAATTGCATTACTTTACGTGGACAAAGGTCCTTCGTGCGATTTAGGAAAATACGCATCTGTTCAGGAAGTAAAAGGCATCAAACACACTGAGTGAAAATTTATGTCGTGGGACTGAGAAAGAGCAGGGAAACTGATAAAGAAAAAAGGGCACCATTTCTGGAATCAGAGAGACCTGCGTTCAAAGCCAGGAACCCACACTTACGAATGCTGGGAACCGAAACAAGTCTACTCCTCTCAGTGCATCACTAGATCGTCACTGGCAAAGTGGGGAGGACACCACCTCTCACAGAGGGCTAGAGGGAACATTTAATGAGATGGTGATGGATGGCACAGAGTGTCTCATGAGTGTTCAGCACATAGTAAATGCTCAATAAATCGTAGTGGCTTTTATTTTCTCTTTTGTGCACGGCTATCAGGGAAATCTGTTTCAGGAGGACAGGAAATATCTGTTGAAGGCAAAGGCTCACTTATCAGTATGAGAAGTGAAAGCCTGGGCATTACACTGTGTGGAGTGAGCTGCCGCCATTTTTGGCAATGCAGAATATGCCAACACTGACTTTTCAAACAAGGTACTATGGTCAGGAAATTCAGCCAAGACTGCATTGTGCTGTTTCAACTATGTATAATATGTAATGTTTCAGATGGTACTACTGAAAATGTAAGATAGCTCACAGGAAAATACATGTACAGATGCCTCTGAAGTTAACAAAGCTTGCACTGTTTTCTTTCCCCCCAAGTTACCTTTTTTATTTCAACTGTTCTTAATCCCTGTATTTCAGATGTCACTGTAAAGGTGAAAAAGATACAATATGGTTATTAAAGCATTTTTTATGTCCATTTAAATTTTAGTCAATGTTTGGAGCTGGATGGGACTAAGTGAGATACTCTAATATATATATATATATATATATATATATATATATATATATATATATATATATATATATTTATTTTTTTTTTTAAAGGGTTCTCAAAGTTGCTAGTACACATGATTAAATCTGTCTCACATAGGAACTCTTTACTTCTCCAGTTGGAAAAATGCACATCCCATCCCATTTCTCCCCTCTTATTTTAAGCATTGATTATATAACTGTATAATCTACTTTGAGTGAATCAAGGACAAAATGTGTTTCAGATAGAAAGACAACTGTGCACAGCTGAGAGGAAAAAAGTCACGGGTTCCTTAAAAAAAATTCATGGTCTTAACCACCTAAATTTCTAGAATATTAGTCATATTGCAAACAGAGAATGCCATATGGTTAGTTTCTTAAACTTGAACAACTTTCATCTGATGTTCCAAGCCAAAAACCCTCTGCATCATGAATTTATGTAATTAAAACACAGGAGGATCATACTAATTTTCTCAATCAAAATTTCTGCAATCTTCATAGAAAAAGAAGGCTTCACTTAATGACAGCTTCTGATTTATTGGTGTTACAGTAAACGCACACAGGAAATAAAAATCAACTACACCCACTGGCTTAGTAAGAAAAAATTAGAGGCTCCTGGTTCTAATGTTTCGTATGTCTTGCAGGGTAAACAGCAAAAGGGAAAAGCTGCCATGTTGTTCAGAATTTTTGCCAACACACATCTTTGCACCTGCAGTAGGATACGGAATGATTTGGGGGGGAAGAGAGCTCAGAGGCAAATTTAAAAAGGGAAGGAAATCTGGCCAAAATTTAAACCAGTAAATCATGTCTAAAATATCAAACCATTCTTACATGCATTCTTCTTTGAGCTGCTTTCCAGTGACTCAGATGTACTGGATCCAGAAAGTGGAAAAGTGAATGATGACAGGCTGCCTTCACTCATCTACAAATACACAACAGTTATTTTAGAAAGTTTTGGAACTAATAATGGCCCCTAACCGGACTTATTTCAGAATTCAATTCTTTTAATCTAGAGAGAAATACCTGTTAAGTAACACTGGTATTTGGTAATTTGATGGGACAGTTGAAACAGTTTCTACTGACGTTTTTCTTTCGAAGAAAGAATTTGCCTAGTGACCTAAATAAATTGAAGCTAAAAGGATGGATGAAACTGATTCCAGGCAACCTCAACTTTTAGTGGATTTTCATAATCTCATTCAAGGTAATGCTCTCTAAATTTAAACTGATGTCATACATAGATGGGGACTTAAAATCCACAGAATTAGGGCCAGTCAACAGGACACTGATGGTAGTCATTAAGGGGTGAGTAAGGGGTCTTTAAAGACAGGTTGATGAAAACAGACTTCTATCATCAGAAGACAAGGCTGAGGTGAGGGGCTTGCGAAGTGACGTGAGCTATGTAACACCATATACGTGGTAGTAAGCATCTGCAGTTCACCCACATGAATATTGATACATGTTAGTTATAAAATACTTTAAAAATACATTATCTTGGTAGGCGTTCATATATTAATTGGTTAACTTTTGAGATTATGGAAAAAATGTCAGAAAAAAAATTAAGTTCTTTAGAATACTTGCAAACTACTCAAGAGCTATTAATATACCTTGCTTACCTGTCCAATTTCAGTTCTTGCTCTTCCCTGTTTCAAACTCCACACCCCACTCTCCCAAGTTGCCAGAGGGCTAGGCTGTGTCCATGACCCTGGACAGACCCAGGGCCATTTTTGAGCTCCTTTTGGCACGCAGACGGCATCACCCCTATGAATCCCATAACTGCCTACCTGGCTACTTTGAGAAGGCCTCCTCTCTGAATGGAATGAACCGGCTTTGATTCTTCCGACTTCCAAGGTCACAGTACCTAGAGAACACTGGGGGAATGGTTGCTTTAAGGAAATGTTTAAGTAAAATGCTACAGTAACCTTTAGAGGCACATTTTACTCTTCAAGACTGAGTTTTTGAAAGGCATATTCCTTTTGGAATTTCTACAGGCAAGGATAGCTCCAATGCTTTGCAGAAAGAGGCTTTTCTAAAACATTAAAACTAGTCAAAATAATAACAAAAAGCAACAACACCAAGTGTATGTTTTATGACCTCGACCATTTATATGAAGGTTTCTTGTTTTTTTTTTTGCTAAGGTAATGAGAAATTAAGAATTGAGCAATTATCTCAGGAAACACACTGATTTAGATAGGCCAAATGAACTAAATAATTCAGGTTTAAAAACAAAACCAAAATGGCCGGCCAAGTGGCTCAGCTGGTTAAGAGCTCGCTCAAGAGTGCGAGCTCTGAGCAACAGCGGTTCCATGGCCGACCTGAGCTGAGCTGCCAACAGGTGGCAGGATGGCTCAGCTAAAAAAACAAAACCAATAAAACAACTTGTTTTGCCCTTAATAGCAGATACTCAGACAATTGGATAAACGCTCTATATTTACACTGCACCTGAATAAACTTATTCTATAATACTTAAATAAGCCATACTGCTATAAACACAAAACCAGAATGAAAGATAATTTCCCCACGGCCTTTTACAGGGAGTGCATTTCATCACAGGCGTGCAAAAATGCCATCCAAAGTCTCATGTGGAAGTAACACAAGGAGGTGTTTGCAATGCTAGGTTTCTGCAGTCAGACACACTGGTTTAAACCAGACCATGAGACCTTAGTAGATGTCTACCTTGATAAGTCTGTTAAGCTGCATTTTTAAAATGAAGGCCATTATAGGTCGTTGTGATAAGATAATGCACGTATAGTGCTTATGACAGTGTCTAATGCAAAATAGTAGTTACAGAAATATTGGGCCCTTTATATTATTAAGCTGCTTCTGATAGGGTTTAAGGGATGTTACTCTTAAACACATTGATCATGGGTCAAAAAAGTTTTGAAAGGTCAAAACTTTACCTGGAATATCTATAAGTTGCTTTTGTTTGTTTATTTTTGGGGGACTAGGAGCATATCAAAATCTTGACTCTATTTATATTTCCAGCTTATATAACTGCAGAGGTTAACAAATCCCATATATTAAGTATTCACTATGTAAAGTTATAACTCTTTCATCTACCTACAATATACCTCTTTCAAACTTCAAGGGTATCTATTATAAAAAAATTTTAAGTTAATTTTTTTGTTATAAAAGCAATTCATCCTCAAAATAAAATTTTGCAAAATAAAATGAAAAAAAAAAGAAAACAAAGGATTCCATAGTTCCAATAATTACCTCTTAATTATTGGTTAAAAGGCTTATAAGATTTTATTTTATAGTTGTTTCTACACTGTATATAAATTTTGTCTCACATTCTCTGATGTTTCTTCATGTTAATTATCCTGAACATCATTTTAAACAGATACATTTGCCATGCATCTTTGCTGTATTTACCCAACTTTGCATAGTTGTATCAACTGTGTTGCTTTCAGTTTTTCAGTTATTACAAATAACACTGCAATGAACCTTATGTGCATGAAGTTTTTTGTGCATTGAGGATTATTTATCACTGAAATATGGTCTTTTTCTTATTTTTATTTGAGAAAACATTTTAAATAAAGAGTGGTCAGTACTTATTTCACTGTGATAGCTTGATGTTAAATTCTCCTTCTTCTATACTATGGCACAGACTTATTTTTGGCATTGGATTTTTACCTTTAGCAAAGCAGCAACAGCTTCCTGGGTGGCATTACGGACGTCTTCTCCATTCACCATTAATATCTGGTCTCCCTGCATCAGTCTTCCATCAGCATCTGCAATTCCTCCTTTGACAATGTCTGACACAAAAACTCCAGTGTCATTTCTGCAAACATAATTTTGAATTTCAACATTATCTTTTTTTCAACTGTAACATACGCTTATTTAAAAATTAACATTTTTAACTGAAAATATTACTTTTATTTTTAAGACTTTAAAAGCTTTATTTTAAAGCAACACTAGGCAACATTATTAGAAATAATTTTGATGATAAATAATAGCTTATGTCATAATATTTCATAGATTAAACATGTCTTTCATAAGCATATTTGTTCAACAATTATATGCTGAGTAGAAGTGGCTACTATTACACTCATTTTATGGGTCACACAGCGACTGAATGGCAAAAATGGGATTTAAGAGTCAGGGCAAGGGTGCTAAATCTATTGTTCTTTCTACACCATAATGAAGCCTTAAACAGCTATTGACCTGTGGCTATACAAATATGTTGCTATTATCATCAACATCATTAACATTATTGAAAATGAATAACAAATGTGTATCTTAAACTGAAACCATTTGTTACCCTAAACTTAAGCACTACTGCTGCGATGTCTTTTAAATTAAATCATTATGTACCTAACTTTCATGCAAGGCAGATTTATGCAAAATGAACAAATACTAATTTTATTTCAATCTTTAACTCATAAAACCATAAATAAACCAATAACTTCTTGAGATAAAGGTAACTGTAAGTAGAAATGTTTAATGAAAGCTGGTTACATCACTTATTTTATATTTTTTTTAGTTTCACTTGTTCTTGCCAAGGTCATCACCTCAAACAAGCCATTTCACCATCTGATACTCTACTTTCCCATCTTTGGAATAAAGGCGTTAGAACTTACTGGGTTATATATCTGTTAATATTACTTATATATAAACATTTAAATAAATTAGGTACTGAAATTATGTATATTCACCAATCTACCACCCCAGCCTCTCACTTTATGCTTTCTGTTCCTTTTTGATGGCATACTCTTGTTCATGCTGATCCTTCTTCCTAGAATATCCTCCACCCCTTTTAATAGACCACCTATCATTTATCACTTCTAGCTTCAGCTCAGTACCTCTTTTTAAAGAAGTTTTCCTAATCTATTTTCCTTAAATAGGGTCACTTTGTCCCATTCTCCTTTGCTTTCGTGCATTCTTCCACAATACGTTTCTGTCCCTCATCAGAATTTAGATTCCTTTGTTGCAAGAATATATTTCTCATTTACCAAACTGTGAGTTTTCTGAGACCAGGAGCCATGTCTTATTTAACTCTATTTCCCCAGAACCTAATGTATTTCCTGGCACACAGCAGGTACTCAAAAATACCAAATGGCTTTTTATGTAGTGCCTTCAAAATCCTCCAAAATACTGACTGAAAAATTTCAAAACCAATGTCTCTATTTATTATTTTTTTTATTGTTCGTTTCAGGTGTACAGAACAATGCAATAGTTATCCTTTTCACCCTTTGCACAGGAAACAACCCCCCTCCCCCATCTACGCCCCCCCACCCCCAATATCATGCTTATCTATTACAATTCCATTGACTCCATTCCCACACTCTACTAAACGTCTCGTGACTATATGTATGTATAATTATAGCTGACATACAATATTATTCAACATCAGCTTCAGAAATACAGTGTGGTGGTCAGGCCTCTACACCGACTATTAAGTGGTCTCCCTAACAAGACATGAGTCCATCTGGGCCCCTAAAAATATCTACAACATTATTGATTATATTCCCTAGGCTGTCTTTTCTATCCCTCAGGCCATATTGTAGTTACCAATTTGTATTGTCTCATCCCTTCCCCTTCTCCTTCATCCCCACCCGCTCCCAACTAGCAGCCCTCAATTTTTCCTCTGTGTCTCTGAGACTATTTCTGTTTACATTTCTCATTTATTCAGTTTTTTCAATTTCATGTATAAGTGAGATCATATGGTATTTGTCCTTTTCTGACTTCTTTCACTTAGCATAATGTTCTCTAGTTCCATCCATTACTATTTCCTTCTTCTTTATAGCTGAGTAATACTCCATTGTGTAAATGTACCATAGATTCTTAATCCAGTTGTCTACCGATGGGCATTTCAGTTGCTTCCAAGTCTTAGCTATTGTAAATAGTGCCACAATGAACATAGGGGTGCATATATTTTTTCGAATTAATGTCTTGGGTTTTTCTGGATAGATACCCAAGAGTGGAATTGCTGGGTCATAAGGTAGTTCCATTTCCAGTTTTTTGAGATACCTCCATACTGATTTCCATAGTG